GAATAACTGGGGCTATCAAGTAGGCCACGTTGTTGGTACATACATGACTAAAAATTCTGTACTTAGTTTCACTTCGGTAGTGTTACCTGCTTACCACCTTGTATGGTTAGAATCGGAGTTGTCCAATTCCATTTGTAATGATAATTCACGTGACTTAATTTGATAGCCAAGTTCGGGTGGGTCAGACAGGGCTCAGCATATCCTTAATTGCGTAGTTCATACACTCCTTTCTTTATACAGAATATAAAGTCCATTTTGGATTCACTTGTGCAAACAGCTAGCGTGGCCAGTCCTTTTACAGGTAGTTACTTGAATCAATGTGCTCTACAACCTCAATGACTGAGGGGTCATTATTTCCTTAATACTTCTACATATTAATGAAGACATCTCTCGACAAACTATCTTAGCTGTTCCAACGCAAGTGTACATTCCCAAATCATATACCAATCATAATAAAGCTACGTTGGTTGAACTTCGGTTAATACTAGGCCATTATGGCATTTCAGGGAATGAAGAGGTAGATAGACTGGCATAATCACAGAGCTCTCATATACGAGGGATAGACACATATACACATTTGCGGCTCTCACCTAGCTTACTAGGCAAAGCTATTCCATTGGCTGGGATGTTAACCATGTGTAAAGTAGTTGTTATTATCCTCTTCAATCTGTAGTTTGTCATAAGGCGAGGGTACGAAGAACGAGGTAAATATTATATATGAGTTGTGCAATGAGAAGGGAAGAGAATATCTAGCTACACGAAGGTCTTGAGACACTCAGTTATTGCTTAACCTTAAACCATGCCAACTACCATCCTACTTGTCACGGCGTAGAATAGGCACAAGTGAAAGTACAGCTTGTATGGCGATAATTCAATCTGTGAAGCAAATACTAAGCTGGAGAAGAATAGAAAAGAACAGGATCTCATTACAAAAAGCCCTGAAGCTATTCCTATTCGGGCGGGTTTCCACTAAATCGCCGCGTCCGTGCTCCTTCCTGCATCAGCCATCAGTCTCACATCCTCCCTCCACGTAATTGTATATCATGGCGGAGCAGAATGCCGTGCCGTGACACTACTACGGTGACATAGTTCACCATAGAGTTTGACACTACCTCTTATTGAAAGGCTATGCTGAGCTGGAATGACGCACCGCTAGGATGAAGGTATGTAAGGAGGTAGCTATAGCTGTAGGAGAAGTGAAGTTCGTGAGTTATACTCTTAGGACTTGGATCAATGGACTAACTTGAGGATATTCCCTGGTATTCTCAAGTGTGTAAATAATATGGAGATTGTTTGAATTTCCTATTGTATGAATTGCTTAAGTTATCTACATGACAGGACCTTCCTCTATATGCATGAATAAGGGGATTTCTGCACACCAGTGGATATTTCAATATATGTCCTTGTCTAACCGAGAAAGGAATGATGTGAGGGATCCGTACGCCAATAAATACTATTCGGAATCTATTGGGAAATACTAATTCATACTAATGAGTGATAATCTGGGTCAATCATATCCCATGGCGCACGTGCACATTATTCAAATGTGAACAGTTTATTGTAAGGTATTGGAAATTCTGACTCTAGAATTTAGGACTCAACCATTATCTGTTTCGTCTCTGGTTCCCGACAAGATCGACTCTCTCTAAACATGTCCCGAGTGCGCCAATTGCGCCTACTGTCGCCTATACGTTTGGATATTTACGTACTACAGTGTACCTTTGCCCATCATGGTAGATGAGAAGTGGCTGGTCATCACTAGGTTTGACAGGCACATGAGACTAGCGGGTATTTCTCCCTTAAGATGTATATATAAGTCCAATTTTCCCATAGTTGTAACCTATCAAGTCTTCTTTACTTCATTATATATATATCCATATAATATTGTACAGAGTATATTCTCCAACATAATGGAGTAGTGTTACTCCACTAATTACAACACCTCTGAGCACAAGGTTGCCCAAGTGCCTATGCTTACACTGTGATATCTAGCCGGCGAGAATAGCTAGATCTACAAATGAAATGGAAATTTCCACTGGAGCTAGTACTCCCAAGATGGGCGTACTATCGCCTGGTCGCAGCGAGGACAAACTGTGGCGATTTCAGAATATACCATGAAAGATTTGGCCACAATTTTATAAACTAAAGATGGGGATCTGGAAGAGAGAGGCTTTCCTGGCATTTGGCAGAATGTCGGATAGCGCTAGAGCAATGGAGAAATTTGAAGCAAGGACCAAAACCGAGAGGACTGGAGATGCTGGCAGAGAAGGGATGGGAAGATTTTCTCACTTTTTCAAAGGTATCTAGGTGTTATGAGAGGTAGAGCCCAGATAGGGAAGATTAAGTCCTGTCGAGGGATAATAATTCTCATAGAAAAGTGTTCTGAGGAGGTGGAAAAGGCACAGTGCGCTTATTATCTTGAATTAGATGTCTATATATGTCTTCTGCCCATAGATTTATCGAGCAAACTATGTAACAAAGTTGTAATGAGTCCTTAGGGATCATAGACCTACATTACACCTGTTGGGTGTAGGTTTTAAATTGTAGCCCACTACTTAGTTCGTGAACTTATTGGTAGGGGGAAGCTTAGGCAATCATGAGGGATAAGAAAATGTCAATTTGACTACTCTTCTAAACATAGGTACCAGACTCCTTTTCATCCCAATAGATAGCCCATGCCGGATCTCCTTTTAACAGAGGTAACCAACGCTAGCAGAGGAGGGCAAGACTGAACACACGTACACGGTGTCTTAAACGAACCTCGGAGTGAAATATTCTCCCAGAGCCAAGTTCATTCAAATTTCGCACTATCAAAGAAGTTGGCCCACAAGGCAATGGTTCCAAATAATCCACCACGTCAAATTTTCACTCCTAACGAGATCGACTTTTACCGAAGCCTCAAGTCTACAAACACGACCTAGTACATCCTTATCCCAATGACCATACCTCTCGTCGACTCTACCTGGCCTCGGCTCGTCACCAAATACACTCCCACGCCGATATTTACGCCTGACGGAGGAAGCAAAGCGTGGCGCACAAATCTGGGGGACAGATCTTTTGGGTGGACGTGAGAGGGATCATGTGAGTTCACAAGATGATGCAGAGGAAGGATATAGCCTCGAAAGGCGTGAAATTTGGAATTTTGGCCAAGAGTTTTACGAATTGAGCTTTGTGCACGCCGATACCTCGCTTGCGAGAGTCCAGCTGGCACTATAGACACAAGTCAACGATGGAAGGTGCCATGATCAGCCTCCTGGTGGTGTTCTCTGGTATAGTCTGAGTAGCCTGGGCACAGAGTTCACTTGGGAAGGAGACGCCTGAGACTACATTTCGCGTGGAGAAAAGTCAGTGGATGATGAAGGTATGTCTGAATATCTCAAGATTTTTGAGACTTTTCCCTGTATGAGTATTCAAAGATAAGGGTTGACTTGGAGTGAAGAAAAAGCCGCCATAACTTCGCAGTGGTACTTGCAAATGAAATCGGAGGCATTAGTGCTCTTCTAGTATATCGGGTCATCTTTTCTGTACTTTTTCTCAGATATTGTGTAATATCTAGATAACTGCACACGCAATTAAAAACTGATCCAAAAAAAGATCACAGAAGGCCATAATACTCCGTCGATAGACGCCATAGAAACATAACTGTAAACGCAGGGACAGTGGGGTGGGAGTGCAGGAAGGTAATCTCTGAATAGCTTAGCCGCTTCTATCTTGCTTGTCCAACAAGTTCTCAGCTTTAGGGGGTATTGGTTTCGGAGAGGTGGAGTTAATTCCGCCTCCGGCAAAAGTCCGTACATCCTTTGGGCCCTTAAATCGTGGGCTCTGTCGAGACTATGTCTTCTTTTGTTGCATGTATTTAGTCCAAGGCGGTGGCGAGCGCCGTTAGTGATTTCCATGTCATGGAGTCGAAGCAGTTCGTAAACATCTATCTATTCTTCAGATTCGTGCTGCAGTCTTCAGCATACGTTCCTCGAGCAGAATGTGTTCTGGTGGAGTGCCGGCTACCCTTCTCAGGGCTGCGATAGGCTAGGTTGGTAAAGCCATGCGAATTCCGAAGGCAGAAGTTTGGTCAATTGCTCTGCACTGTCTCTTGAAGGAATTTTGCGCAACACCCCAATATGTTTCTCTATTTCTATGGGTGAATACATGTTTAATCGAAATCAACCCTGATTACACGGTCATGTAGGGGGACTATTCTCAACACCTGTCAATGGTGTCCCCTACAACTCTCCAGCTCTCACTGTAGAGTCTGCGGAGCCGAGGCTGAGTAATAAAGTCCTCGCTTCGATGAGGATTCCCAATCGCTTTTGCCGTCTATATCGCCTTCATCTCTCAACACATCCCCCTATCACCATTATCATGAAGCTAACCACGATCAGATCAGATGGTAGGGTCGGAGCCCTACTCATCATCAACCCTTGATCATGGAGGAAAAGCCATCCGATGAGTTTCCGGAGCGTACCCAGCACCCGATACTGAGATGGTGGATTGGATCAAGTCGACCTCGACTGTTACAAACAAGGGAGATATAGATGAATATGCGCACCTCATGTGGTCCCAGTGTCTAGGCCTCGCCTGGCTGGGGCTGCAGGTTTTTTGAGACTTTTCCCGCGCACGCAGTTTTCATTGCTACCATTTTTTTTTTGGATAGAAGGTTCCGTGGAAAGAGTGGCCGAATTCCACGGGTAAATACTGAGCTGTAAGGCTATTCATCAAGGGGAATATATCAATGATCTTAAAAGTAACAAAAGAAGATAGTAGCACTGTACAAGGTGTAGCCTGGGTCAGATATGAGCCCAATGTGCTAGATACTCACAGATTCAAGTAGTACAGTATTAAACATACACGGTCATGTGACTCACTAGGGGTAGAGGATTGGGGCATCACAGGTGATTCGCGGGCTCATACACAGATGATGGGTGGGTTTCCGGCTGCATTTTAGGTAGAGAACCTTTGTGGTCTAATTATTAAATTAAATCGAATTAATCAAGTTTAAATTATCATTGCAATTTTTCCTGTTTTTTGACAACAGATTTCCTATTCGGGCTGTACCTTGACTTCATCTCAACCCTCAACAAGCAATGCATGACCCACATGAAACCTATCCCTACAGCTAAATAAGTCATCGCTTTAATGTTATAGTCTTGATCTAGGTCTAAGACTGGTACTTGAAGCTTATTAACTAGTCTTCTATCTTCATATATAGATTTAGGATTTAGGTGATAAAATATATATTTCTCTCCGAACGAATTTTCATAGCCAAGTAATGGCCGATCAAAAGGATTATTAGAAAATTTTAAAGTATATCCGCTATTGCAAGCCCAGAATACTACAGGATATGGTACTTCTATGTCCCGAAGACCACTACTATTTGACGATGGCATTAGATATCGGAGATGCATGGGGATTTGTGCTGTCCAGTCAAGAGGCTGGTTATGGTTAGTGTTATCTTCAGGTGTGGCAAGTTCAATTAGTACAGAAGAGCCCCAGGTAGGCAAATTATAAGCAGGTGCTTCCAAGTCAATATCATCGGTGATACGACGGAGAGCTGATAAATTCTTATTTTGAAGGAATAATGGGTCCGATAACTGGTATTTATCCACAAAAATTGATTGAGGAAGTGTTAGAAGTACATGGGCTCTACAAGCCTGAAAGTCATGTGGGACTCTTGTATCTGATATCCTTAACTCGAGTGTTGGGTGCATTCCGCTGGGCCCAAGGAAGCGCGCACTAAAATTTACATTTGATGAGTGGTGTCGTGAAGTGAGCGAAAAGAGAGTAGGGTTAAGTTTTTTATTATCCCCAATAACAGTGAGAAATCCTGAGATAGAGATATCTTCGGGCTTGTTGGCTTTAGATGACGTCAGGAATCCAATTTCGTGCCGAGTTTTATATTTGATAGAAAGTTCTTCGGAGAATTGGAGAAATAGACTCTTAGCACTAGTAGGTGCAAAGCTAGAGATAGACAAGCTTTGCGATGAGCCAGTAAACGAAATATCTAAGTACGTAGCTGATATCAATGATGATAGTCGCTTAGAACATTCTTCTGAGAAAGACGGAGGTAGACGGGAGCAGACTATGTTTTGCAAGTATTCTTCAAATTTTGCGATGGAAGAAAGCGGAGAGTAGAACTGAAGCAAATGTGTATCTAGATATGAAGTTTCCTTGTAAAGTGGTGTGAAGGACCTCTTTAAATAATCAGATATTATATGTAACCAAGGAGTCGTCTTACTTGAGGAGATATACAATCTATTGGCCCAAAGGCCTCCTTCAATATCGTGCAGAGAAGTTTTGAGGATTCAACATCTGATCTAGGAGCGTAGAGGACATGGAGACCTGGACTAAGCCTTGAGACTAGAGGGCTGACACTCTCGTATTCTTTTTCCGCTACCCATCTTACATGCAGCTCGCGGCTAACCTTCAAAACCCGTTGAAGTTCTTCAGGTAGCTCCTTGAACTCAAATTTTATTTTGACTTCTTTAGCTGCGGTAACTGCACCTACCGAGGAAATTGAAGTATGATTTACAGAGATAGATTGAGGATCAAATGGATCACTTGGGTTCAAGAGAAATGTTATTCTTTCGCGCATTGTTGCAATGTAAATACTCCTTGTTGCGCCACCTAGCGCATAACTAAGTGTAATGATATGGCTGTAGCCGATTGCCAAGAAAATGAGGATGGCGTGTACCGCTTTCATAATTAGGGCCATTGTACCACCACGTGTGAGCCAAAACAAATTCTCGCTCACCCACCTCAATTTGTGTTTGAATCGAACGACATCAAAGAATCGTGATGCAAATATTACCGCTTACAAGACTAATTATTCTCTCTCAAATCGTTTGTGGAATTAAAGCTGGCAATGACAACGCAATTCTCCTATCTCAAGTGCGCACACTCACGCTGCGCAAGAATGTCAAAACTTCACATCGACGGGTTCCTCCAAAACCTCAACTCACATGTAAAGGCCCGGGTTGTACCTTTCATGAAGTCGATATAATGCGCTGCAAGAACCAGGGGTCATCTTACGATACAGAGAACATTGAATGGTCATGCACAGCTAATCTACCTATCGAGTTCAAACTTGGAAGTACTGATGTTTCTTGCGAAGGCTATGCTCATCAAAACGATAAGTATATATTAAAGGAAAGCTGTGGGGTCGAATATCGACTTCTTCTTACAGATATCGGTGAGGAGAGATACGGCAAAGAGTTTTGGCGCCTTGATAGTGAAAACAAATCTCTCCCTCGTGCAATTTTTGCTGTAGTATTTTTTGCGATTTTAGCTTGGATCTTATATTCAATATTTAAGGCTCTATCTGTCGGCAACTGGCACCGAAATTTCGGGCCATTTTGGGGAGGTGGTGGAAACGACGGTGGAGATCCATGGGACTCACCTCCTCCGTATAACAGAAAATGGTCCAGCCGTGGGCGCCAACAGCCAGGATGGACCCCCGGATTTTGGAGTGGCGCACTGGGTGGTGCTGCAGCCGGATATCTAGCTGGGAACAGAGGCAGTCGTCAAAACAATCAATTTACAGAAAGACCTCTCTGGCCTACAGGTAATTCTGGTACAAGCTTCTCCGTTCCAACATCAGACTCAAGAAGCAGTAGCTCAGCCAGGTACAATAGCACGGGCTTTGGATCAACATCGAGAAGATAATACGTAATTACTGACAAAAAGAATAAACTATGCCACGAGGATAAGTTCTACCAGAAAATGTAAAATATTGTTCCGCGGGATACTATAGTTCCACATTATAGATAATTACAGGTGGCTACGCTTGTATCTGTTTCATCTTGGATTCTACCTGACGTTTTAGACTTTTATCTATACCAAAGAATGATAGATGTGTGACACTCAACGCCCTATAGACCCAAACATTTATCGGGCTGACAAGAGCCGAAAACCGTTACATATGAATTGTCATAACATCGTTAGCGGAAAACGCGCATGAGCAATTCGGACATTTTCTCATACGATTGGCGAGTCTGTCAGCAACACAGTTGTTACAGAAGGTATGTCCACACACTTTTATGGCAGTATTTTTGAAATCTTTTCGGCATATAGTACATAGTGCGAACGACTACATAAATCAGCTCCGTAAATCTAGTCGATAAGGGTGAACTTACGCGTAGCATTTCCTCATCTCCTGATTGATTACTTTGACTTTTAACCCTCCATTGATCCTTCTCTTTTTGAGCAGCCTCATATTTTACACGCATCTGTTCTGCCTCTTGTTCTAAACTCTGGATACGCTGCTTGCTATTCAAACAAATGACGTCTTTAGATTTGAGAATCGCTGTTAGTTCGACAAGCTGATTCTTGAGGACCTCGGCTTTACTAGTGGCTTCTCGACTAGCAATGTCAGATTTCCTATGCTCAGATATTATGGTTGTGTTAGCTTGACGCAGATCACTTAATTGCTTTTCTAGATTACTGAGTAAGGTTCGGTTAGATGTTTCGACGTCCTTAAGTTGAGTAATTATTTCAGAGCTCTTAGAGTTCTGTGCCTTGAGAGTTCTCACTTCCTGAATACGAGTGTCCATATCTTTTCGAGCCGCAAAATACTTTTGGTCTGCTTTAGCTTTCTCTGCAGATAAGATCTGAGTCTTTTCTTCAAATGCTTTTATATCAGAGACTTTCTTTGAAACAAGTGATGACATTTTTCTCCAGGCAGCTTGTAGAGCTGGCATCTCTTTATTAATAGCACAGAATTGATGCTCAAGACTTTCGTATTTCTCTCGAAGTTGCTCATGGCTGAGGTCATTTAATTCAGGTATCTGCTTAGGTCCACTAGATTGCTCATTGAATTGTGTTTGTAGTCTTTCTATCTCTTGCTCAAGTGACGAAATTCGATCATCCTTGGCGGCAGAAACCTCTTTGAGATGCTCTCTGGTAGACCTTTCTTGTTCTTGGTTGGTCTTTCGGATGCTTAAATCTGCAGTTAACTCATCTCTCGCAGATCTTATTCTAATAAGATCTTGCTCTACTCGTTGTAATTGGCTCTGGAGTTCACTAATTGTTACTTCAGCCTCCTTTTCAACTTCAACACGATACGCTGTACGTTCAGCCTGAAATCTCTCTGCTTCCTCTCTTAGCTGTATGTTTGTGGCCTCGAGGTGATTGATACGACGTATAACGTCTTCATGCTGAGTCCTGAGTTGTTTATATAAGTCAGTCCTTGCAAAGTCTTCTTCTGATAGGCTAGATAACTTTGTACTTGCTGCAGTGAGTTGCTCAGCAAGTAACTTATTTTCAGCGTTGACGGATTCGAGTTGTAGCTTTTGTTTGGCAACAATTGCTAGAGCTTCTTCATATGCTGTCTTGGATCTATCGGAATGTTCTTGTGTGCCATTCACATTAGCAGCATCTTCGCTACCTATACCGGTTGAGCCACAATTATTTTTTCCTGATATTGCTTGCATCTCTAATTTAGCTACAGCTGCACTCTTAGCGCGGTCTAGCCTCTTCTCAGCCTTTACATAGCGGAGAGAGGATTCTTCGAGCCTCTGGGTTAGTTCATCCTTCTCTGCTCGTAGCCTGTCTACCCTGACAACACTCTCTTTCTGCCGTGCTAAAAGATCAGTGAGCTTTCGCTGTAGTTTCTGTACCTCGTCAGACGGTTGTCCACGAGCAGCAGTTATATTGGTGAATATCGTTGCAAGCTTATTTTTTATATCCTTGCTTCTGGCAGCTAAGTGCTTTTCGAATTCCTCTGCACCCTTAAAAGTGAGAGACGTCGGGAATTGACCTGTAGTTTTATTAGTGATTATCAGAACTAGGGATTGTGGAATTTACAGTCAATATCTTCATTTGATGGCACTTCGTCCTCCACTAATAATCTGACTTCATCCAGTAACTTCTCAGTGATCAGCCTGTCTATTTAGTATCTTGCTTTCATACTGGATTACCTGAGTCCACCAAACATCCACAACTCTTAAGTGGTCATCGTGATCAAGGGACCTTTTACGAACATCTTTTAATTGTGATTCTAGAGTGGCTTTTTCACGCTTGTACTCGAGCATCTGTCGATATATTGCATCTTTCTGATATTGCTACACCAAAACACGTCAGCAAAGATTGATGATTAGTCTTTGTCCTAGAGTTTAGTGGACAGGCTGATCAGACGGTCGGAAGATTTATTGAAACTTTCTGAAGGAAATTGCTTTAGAACACATGCTGCGGGCGCGAATAGCGTAGTAGCACTTGCCGGATTATTTCGACAAAAAATTACATAAGATATCGATGTTAATTTTGTAAATGATCAAATTCTGGCTGTAAAATGTGGGCTTTCGTGGGAAATATTAGTATTGTGCGGAAATGCTATCAACGAACCTCTAGGTCGTTCGCCCAGGGCATATCCACATCGTGCGCAGAGGTTTTGCTGCTAAGGGCTTGTCGTTTCATTGGAGGTGCTAGGTCATCACCTGCGGCCCTCTTCCTTTCCTCCATCTTGTAGAAAGATGGGTGATGGGATGGAAGGGGTGTTGCTATCGTCATCAGACAAGGCGCGCCGCCTGGAACATAGGTTTTGGAATCGTAGGATGTGAAAGCTTGCGGCTTTGGCTGCCGAATTTTGCGCTTGATATTTTTGGTGCAATCTCGTGGTGTGCTGTCGTAACAGTAATACACAGTGACGGATGAAGATAGAAATCCGTTTCTCGTTACGGCCGCTAGCAAAGCTACCCACACTAAGCTGTTTTAGATTTGTGAATAGGTCCAAGCGCAGATTATCCCACCGAGTTACAATTTCATATGCCCGCTTACTTGTATGTTATGCCCGCTTACTTGTATGTTATGCCAAGATCACAATATGTTTTGCAAAAAGTCTTGACATTAACTGCTCGAGACTTTTACAACCTGAAATATAGGTTGGTAAATCTGTGATCGTAGCCATGTTGAAAGGCAGAAGTAAGACGTTTGCTCCTAAGAAAATAACGAGAACAGTCCCACGAGGTTCAGCCCTTTCGAAGGAACCGGTTGATAATAACACCAAAGAATCCGTCGAACTAGTAGCTACAGACCCAATTTCTAGCATCTCTGAGAGCTTCCAAATCCTTTCCAGTGAGACTGATGGCCTCGTTTCCACACCCGCAAGCGGCTCTGGTGCCTCCGGGGCTAAAGTGTCTGCCTCGACAAATATTGTATCAAATTCAGATGCCCGTGGACAGCTCAAGAGACCTTCAAGTGAGATTATCCAGGAACCAACTGCAAAACGATTGCTTTTAAGCCTTGACCACCAAGTGCCTGTCAACTCACTCCAAACAAATGCAAGTGAGTGCATCAAGAAATAGAAAATCTAAGACATCGCTGAAAATTTTAACGGATTAGCTTTTCACCTCAACACCGAGTCTAATCAGGACAATATTCATCATAATGATGAACCTCAATCTCTAGTAAATAATTCATCTATCCCTCGGCCTTCAGAAATTTCATCTTCAGCCATAACCGCAAATTCCCTACCAAATTATGACAGTAGTGTTCTTACTTCCTCGCCAATCGGAGAAAGTGTAGCCAACTCATGTGAAAATAGTACAGCACTTGAACAGAGCAATTTGTCCAAAGAACCAGATCCCCCCGCAGAGCAGATTATAGACCCTCAATTAATCCATCCGGAATCTGATGAACTAAGGACAACTTCGAATGTTATCGAAAACGATTACATATCGTCTGATAATGTTCGACCGGCTAGTGGTCAGTTACAACGGAGCTCACCCTCTCCCGATGGACTTTTTGTCGATAACTCGGAACTTCACCAGACTAATCTAGTAAACCCGACTGCGAATAATGCAAATGAGCTAACTGGGCTGGCTGAAGTTTTGAGTCCATGTAAACCCAGCAAAACAACAACGAGGATAAAAAGAAAATATACTAAGAGAGCTCGCCCAAAGTCTGATGTAATAATCGATGAATCATCGCTCCAAATCACCGGAAAAAAGATAGCCAAAAAGAGAGGCAGAAAGAAACGAGAGGCAACTCCTGATGGATCAGAATACAAAACTATTGATACGTCAGTTATTACCATGCAGGAATTATGCAAAGATCTTCGCATTGGTAAAAAGTCTAGAAACCACGACGAAATAATGGGAAGACTAGCACGGGTTAAGCAAAATGCAATTAAGGCCAAATTTCAACAAGATTTTCCTGATCTTGTCGCAGCGATTAACGAAAAAGATAAGGGAACGCCTAATCCTAAAAAATCTGAGTCTAAAGACGAAAATGATGTAAACAGGAAGTCGCCATCTCCGACACTCGCTTCGTCTGCAGGCCCAAGGATGCGGATTGTGGATGGTCAGATTGTCACGGATGAACAATCACTGCAAATAGACCGTCACGAACGCGCAAGAATAAATAATAATTATGAAGAAGAGCTCGTCGAAGAAAACGACTTTACCCGTATCGTCAGTTCGAATAATTATTTGAGAAGAGAGCGCTCACAGCATTGGGATATCCCCGGCAATGAGTTATTCTGGAAAGGCCTAAGGATGTTTGGCACAGATTTCGAAATGATCGCTAACATGTTCCCAAATCGCTCTAGACGTCAGATAAAGCTAAAATTCAATGCCGAGGAGCGAGCCAACCCCAGGAAAGTTAATCGAGTTCTAATGGGTATCAAGACTGAAGCGATTGATCTTGATGAATTTCAACGCTTAGGTAACTTTGAGTTGGAGGATGTTGCTGATCTCAGGGCTGAGGAAGCGCGTATCGAGAAAGAACAGTCTGAACAATTCGAAGCAATTGAGAAGGCAAAGCAAGCTGAAGATTTACGCAGAAAAGCTGAAATCCGCAGTGGTAGTGCTGCAATGCGTCTGATGGGTGAATATGGAGACACTTCCCACCGGGAAAGCCCGATAACAAAGAAAAGGCCGAAGAAAAACATTCACAGTGCGTACGGGGGAGGAGAGGAAGCTATTGTGCTAGAGACAGTGGAGTGAAGTTGAGATATTTTGGGGTTTTAATCCTTATTGAATATGAGGTCAATGTGGCGCTCAAGTACCAATTATACAGAGAACTAAAAGGTAGATACTCCTGGCTACATCTATTTTCAGTTGAATTTATTTACCTACTACATTAGAAGGCATTCAGTAGACTTGAAGCGATCCAACGAGATGTGGAGTTAATCCTATTCACTGACGTATCCTTTAATCCAATTTAAGGGCTGCCAACCAACAGAGTAAAACAGAAAGATAGAGAGTTTAAACCGGAATACTTTTAGATAGTACGGATAAAAGGTTGAAAAAGAGCGATTATGTTTTTCTGTTCTGAAATCATTGAATACGAGCTACGTTAATCATGTTACAATGGCTTAGACTAGAAGGTGTGCCACCTACAACTTTACCACTATTTGTATTCTATTGTCTAGTCAACAGACCCTTTAACATGTCTCGTAAGAAGTATTCACAACTTCAAAAAAATATTCAGGATAATATATTTACTGCCAAATACCCCAAATCGTTTGAGCGAACTAGAAATGATAGCTAGACTCACATCCCGATAATACCCATAAATGACTCAATCAACATCAGACAGGCCGCATGGCATCGCAATGCTTTACTTTGGCTACTCTTTGAATTAGGTATGAATGCCCACTCACAGTAGCATGGGAACACCACACTTCGAGACAAGAGCCTATTAAAAACAGAAAAGTATCTCAGGTCTCATATCTTAGATCCTGGTATGATACTTTAGCTCTTAGCAAAAGAATGACAACATCTATGATATATTCAGCTAGTGGCTTCAATAAAGTAATGAGTCTGACTCCTATTTATTTAGTTTTCATCGGTCCAATTGGTTGCATGGAGATCAACATGGTACACACTGGAACATTGGCTAATTCTGCCTGATATTGTATAGACTTCCAACGGAGAACCACTTTTATTCATCCTATTCTAACCTGTTTGACCTACAAACTTCTAATGCATTGTTCTTTTACATTGCGAGACTTTGTGATCTCCGATGTTGTGTCATGGCTAGAAAGCCTCATAAGCAATTAAAATCCGATGCAAAAAAAACAATTTTCTTAGCGATTACCGTCGAAAGTTCCTACTTTAAATATTAGTCTCATTTAATATTAGGGCACTAGGGCTTTTAGAATCTCTGGAAGCTGCCCGCTTTCCAAACTACAATTAAAGATAAATTTTTTTGCTTTCAAAGAACCTCTTTAAACTCTAACGTTTGAACTTGTTCATCCTTTATTTCGGCAAGCTATTCAGACTTCAATCGAGAGACCAAACCAAAATTTTACTACTGCACCATCTAATTATGATTGTCAAGTATTGCCTGCTATCTCGGAAGATAAGTCGTTCTCCTGAAGCCAAGTTCAGTCAAATCTCGCAATACCAAACCAGTTGGCTCAGGACCTAATGATATACTACTCCTAACCAAATCAATATCTCACTCCCGACAAGTTCGAATCCGGCCAAAGCCTCATCAAGTCTGCTTACACGACCTAGTGCATCCTTATTCCAATGAGCACACCTCTCATCAAATCATTCTCTGGCCAGAAATGGCCACAATATACACGCCCAAAAGAACATAAATACCCGCCAGAGGAGAAAAATTATGTTGCACAAACCTCGGAGGCAGTTTTTTTTGGGACGGAGATAAGAGAGATCTGGAAAAGTGGGCAAGATGATGCAAATGGAGAATACGATTTCAGAAGGGTAGAATTTTTGAATTTTCGTAAGGAGTTTACAAATTAAGCTTTGTGCGCGCCAATACTTGGATTGAGAGGGTGCAGGCGACATTAAAAAATACTGATGCGGTTGGATGGTGCGTTGATACATTGTTAAGGCCGGTTTTCCAAGTAGAGCCTGGATAGCTTAGACATATATTCCACTTAAGACAGGAGATCGCTGGTTGAAATCCGGCAAAATACAGCCACTTTTCTCGCGGTGCAAGTTTACATGAACGACAAAAGCATGTTTGAATAATCAAAGGTTTTAAAACGTCCCTTTGTTGGATAATTATAGAGGAGGATTGACTGTTTGTGTAAGCAAACATAACTCATAGTGGTATTTACGAGTGAGCCCCAGAGCATGATTGTCTCTTATATTAAAAGAGTTTTCCAAAATGTACGCATAGCACTGATCATGAGTCGTAGCTAGATAGCTTAGTACACTTTAAATGATTTTTGAACAAAAAAGCGAATGCAAGTCGTGGAGCGCACAGTGATCCTTAAAGTAAAAAACTTCTTTCCAAACATGGAAACCTCATAACTTGAGATTAGATTTATTCTTGGCACTGTGTTTTCCACCTATCCAGATACCTATCACGCCCACCCTCAAGATCTATCTCTCAAGTTTATGCACCACAATTCATCTACCCCAGTCGGTATTCATGTTCTTGTGGGCGTGTAGTTGAAGGCTAGATGAAGGCGGAGTCTTAGATGACGAGAGGTACGTTCATGGAAACGAGGATGTACTAGTTTGGACTTGCAGGTTTGATTAGGCCTACGATAGAGATGATCTCGATAAGAGTTAAGGCTTGATGTGATTGGGCGTCTTGAATTATTCACTCATGAGCTATCTTCTTCACAACTGAAAGTTAGATTGACCTCAGTTCTGGTAGAAAAATTTTCATCCAAGTCCACATTTCACTATATATCTTTATCGTCCTTTTCCAGGTCCGTAGGTGCTCAGTCTCCGACCTATACAAAGATAGGGTGTGGCAGTAGTATTTTGGCAAGACCGGCATCCATTACAATCAGACTAGCTAATCCTGTTGATCGCGCCCAACACCCATCACCTAATATTTCGAATAAAAATGACCAAGTTTCGACCATGTATCGATCTACACGCTGGCCAGGTCAAACAGATTGTGGGGGGAACTCTGACAGATGCATCGTCGGACCTGAAAACAAATCATGTTTCCAATCTTCCTGCATCGCACTTTGCGAAGCTTTACCGAGAAAATAATCTTCAAGGGACGCACCTGATCATGCTCGGGCCAAATAATGAGGATGCTGCCAGAGAAGCATTATTGGAATGGCCAGGCTGCATACAAGTAGGTGGTGGTATCACAGATATCAATGCAATGCAGTGGATCAAATGGGGCGCTGAAAAGGTATGTGCATAGCAGTTGATTAGGGAGGGGCTACTCAAGAGTGTAGTAGGTAATTATCACCTCATTTCTCTTCCCCGATGCCTCATTTGCTCAGGAGCGTCTTGATGCAGTAATTGCGGCGCTCGGAGGTCAAAGGGAACGGCTTGTCATTGATCTAAGCTGTCGAAGGAATGGGTTAACGTGGTTCGTGGCCATGAACAAATGGCAAACCAGAACCAATATGGAGGTGAATCAAGGTGCCTGATCACCCGCCAGAGCCACTCTGACTCACTGGCTAACAATCGCAAAGCTACCATTGAGCTCCTCGAGCCCTATTGCTCCGAGTTTCTGATCCACGCGGCTGACAATGAAGGCCTCCAGTCTGGCATCGATACTGACCTAGTAACTAAATTAGCATGCTGGTCTAGTATTCCCGTGACTTATGCTGGTGGTGGTCGAAGCATCAGTGATTTAGATCTTGTCAAAAGCCTCAGCAACGGCCGGGTAGACCTTACCATTGGCAGTGCTCTCGACATATTTGGCGGCTCTGGTGTTGGCTTCGAAGATTGCGTTGCATGGAACAAACTGGAAACATAACCAAGCACATCTGTGTACTTAATGCGCACGAAGGCTACCCGAGACACGCAGGTTTATAGACATAAAAGTGCCAGTGTTTATTTATTTAGACCTGGAAGAGAGAGTAAAGTTGTTGGGATCGGAAAATATGTTCTTTTTACCTTTGTAGCTTGAAATAATTAGCCACTCAATGTTTGCTATTAGTTGTTGCCGAGAAAAGGTGTATTTGTGTGATCTGCGCCTATCCTAAATGCCGAACCACGAGTAAAAGGCAATTTAGTCTAAAACGGGCAATATCTATCATCTATCCATCTCACAAGTCTCTTTCAAATCATAAGATGAAGACTAGTTCTTCATCGATGATTTTGACTACTGATGTACGAATCAAAATTGGTATGGTTTTTGAGGTCAAACGAAAAATCCTAACTATCACGGACTCGAGGAAACGGTTAGGGCCACAAGATAACTGTTGGCGGTTTCTATTCTCCCCATAGAAGAAGTAAATTAATAAATCTTCTGATTCGAAGCTCAACTAAAGGGTAGATGTCAGATAGTGGTTGACACTGTGGGCAATAGAGGTTGTCTGTGACAGAACCAAGTTGGTGATGAATAAATCAATTTATTAAATATTTGAGGAGAAAAAAGAACTGTAGCTACAACTAACAGGTAGTTAATGGGAGTGATCCGCTTTATGAATCTACTAACGAATGCCTTTCCTCCAGACATTATACTCGCTAACTAGCCACGTATTGTTAGGTGTTACTTAGTTGTAACGGCGATCTAGCGTTCTGATTAGTATTATCGTATCGTCTAGTTCCATATTTCCCTCGCAATGCGAGCTTATTGTAAATAATCTAAGTATTACGCTTAGGTGGGAACCTAAGCCCATACAACGGTCAAACCGTGATAATGTCGTAAGTAATAAAGTTGACTAAAAGGTTCCAAAATGAATAATATTTATTCATGGTGGGCACAAGCCTAGCGCTCATAGAACATGACACGAAGAAGGCTAGTCATTCTCCGACGACTATGTATAATGATAACTCAGTTTAACGCTACGACCAATTACGTAGTTGGTGCATTTGCAGATACTATTCAGGACCCTTTTGCAAGGGGCTCTCACTCTTCCCTCAACCGTGAATCCCCACTTAAGAAAAAACAGGAGAAACCGCTTGCTACCCTAACATGCCTTTGTCGTCTTTAATATGGCCAGCGCGCGAGTTATGGCTTCACAGTTCTCCCTTTTTGGGATGAGGTAGGTGACCAGGCTACCCAGACTTTAATTTGGGTAGATGACAACCAGGAGGCGGACCAAAACACCTTTGATTGTAGCCCTTTTTTAGAGTGTCGGTTGCACTACTCGAAATTGTTACCTCGGCGCCCACAAACACCCTTCAGTCGAAAACATACGGGAAGTTTAAGTCCCAGCATGTTACGGGCTAGGCCCGGCTAGTTGTGGTAGGGCTTTTTAGGGACATAGGGCTCATCCTTTTTTTGTTGGCGCAAGAGAGTTTGTAAATCTACTTACTATACGAGAGTAATATCAGATCACGTTTAAAGGGTCTGGAGACCAGGAACAGGCATTGTAGTTCGAAGGTGCCGTAGCTTCCCGCTTCAAAATTCTTCATAGGAAAATTTAAATTTAATTGTCGTATTACTTTCCTGCATCGGCCGAAAGCTCTAGGCCGTCACATGTATTTTCTATCACAATTCTTTTTAATCTCTCTGTGGAGTTTTTGTTTGATTTCATTATCCTGATTTGGCGCCCTATGGGCCCATGTAGTTGTCTATCATACTTTCTAATTTACATGGGGGGAAACCTTTTGGTGTAAACTCCCCAAACCCTTCTGTTTAATTTCTATGTCTTTCCTAATTTATCCTTGAGCAAGCGCAGTTACACTATAGTGCCCTCCACATAACCCAATCACATCGGCTTTATCGACCTCAAGAAAAGCATGACCTGTTCCTTTCCCTCAGCAGCATTTCGACCGCCTTTGTCATCTGGAATTGCTCTATCCAACCATGATTTAGGATCAACTGTGTTATCCTTTTGATATCTCCAGGATTGCTTAGCATAGCCTCGTAGGACCGATCTTTCGCTTGTCTCCAGATCTCTCCTCTTCCGTTTGACCATCGAGTGCAGGACATAATCATGTGCTTGGGGTTCTGCGATTGGTAGCTACATGGACAGCTTGGACTGTAGACTCCGGTACCTTTCTTCTATAGAAATACGAATTGAGCCCCATGTGCTCACTTCGTATTTGAATCGCTAGACTCAAAAAACATCATCATTTTGAAAAATTTGCCCCCATCAATTTTAATCCCGTGAAGTTGCAGTCATATCCTAACAGTGATGGAAAGTAATCCTATCAAGGATTCTCACCGTAGAAAGTCCCATACGGTCCCGAAAGCCGCAAACGACGCGTCAATCAACGCCCAAGATACTGCTATAGCCTTAAAGAGGTTCAAGAACGCAGTTGAAGGAGATGAGCTCTCAACCAGAGCATACAAGAAGTTAATCAACGAGGCAATACGCGTAATTGAAGGAATTCGCGACGCGAAAGCTCAGCCAACTCACAAAACTAGTGATGAAAGTCCAACAATAGCTAAGATCCTACAGGAAATCCAAACAATTAAAGCTTCAATCTCACTGACAAAAGCCTCAGCTCCTACACAAGGATATTCCTGGGCACAAGTAGCTGGAAAAGCCGAAGTTGCCAGCACCACAATTAGAATTCATGATGAAGATTGTAAGAATTCTGGATAAATGCCTTAGGCAGGATTTATGGGTTCCTTGTTTAGCACCACTAGCCTTATTGCCTAGCGAGGATAGTTATGTAGTTTTCACTTCGGATACTGAGACCTTCACGCTTTGTTTTCTGTCTTTAGGTATAGTTACATTATTCTAATCACATCTCACTCTCGTCCTCTGCCAACCATAGTGACCTACCGTCACCTCCGGCCTCTCTATCTAGAACGACTCCCCGCTTTCCCATTTACCACTTCTCTAGAAAGCCCTCCGCGTTCCCACGAGGCGTCCTTCCTCAGTACATCGTACGCTACGCCCTCTCCTACGCCTCGATTCCTGCGCCCAGTGAACCTGCGCCTGACAAAGATGAAAAGAAAGAAATTGCCAGACTCTCGAGCGAGGAGCCGGTGAAGAAGATGGGAATAAATGAGGTTATAGCAGCAAAGCAGATGTCTTATGGACAAGTAAAAGTGTTTTTCACAGGTCAAGAGTCGAAGGAAATGGTCGAGAAACAGAAGGAGTGGACTACAAAGCTTGCACCTACAGCACAGGTAGCAAGTCCCATATACCAAGTCCTAGTTCACGACATGCCGCTATCATTTGAGCCGGAAAGTCATGAACAAATTAAACTACTCCAACAAGCAAATGTCTTGTACCTACAAGGCATCAGAATACAAAAGGCCGCATGGCTAAAGAGATCTTCTATCCTGGGAAAATCATCGGGATCATTGATTCTGTGGTTCGATGAAGCGGAATCTGCAGACAGAACAATCACAAAGGGAGTAATGTGGCGTTACGGAGTCAAACCGGCAGAGCTCTTCCGGTCTGGGCTCCGCGCCATGCAATGCTTCAACTGCCAGAAGTACGGGAACATAGCAAAAGTCTGCACTGCAGAAGCCAAGTGCGGTCAGTGTGCAAAAGCACATAACACGAGAGTCTGTGCTGGAAAACAAGAGGCGAGATGCAGCAACTGCAGCAACTGCAGTAGATGTCACGAAGCATGGAACCAAAGCTGCCCAGTTAGGATCGCAGCTAAAGCAAAGGCAATTCAGAATCAGACACAGGATCTGGGAACCTGTAAACGCCCTGAGTTACCATCGAGGGAAGCAGAGGCCGAATGGCAAATTGTAGGATCCAGGAAAAGACGTGCTGGTACTGCAGGTCCTCAACTCATCGGAGCAGACGGTGAAGTTATCGTCCGCCGAGGCCCTGGACGACCGCGAAAATCTCCAACTTCTGTCAATTTGCCAGCAACATGGGCTAAGATGCCGAAAAAGATGGATCTAATGGTTTCGAATGCTCAAACTAATCCCCGGACTATGACACGGGAGGACCAAGCAGAGGGAAGCGATGCACCGCTGTGCAATATGACACAGTGAAAGGTACAAACACGTGGAATATCATACAGTATAATGTCAACAAAAGTAAAAACAAAGTACAGTATCACTTCCTTCAAGAGCTGAACCCCAAGGAATACCATATAGTAGTGGTCCAGGAACCTTGGCAAAACCCACTGAAAAATCTTACCCTAAAGCACCTCGGATACCATTTGGTATCCTCAAACAAACCGAACGGCCGAACTTGCATCTACGTCAGCAAGCGGCTAGCTACAGATAAATGGGGTGTCGAAAATATCCCCGAAGAAGTTGGTGGAGACATAACTTTGATCAGCCTCCAGACAGAACAGGGAAAAATGAGGGTACACAACATCTACAACCCTCCGCCTAAATTCCATAGCAGTACAGAGCTAGGGATGCTACAATATATTCCCCAAATACTAGCACAAGATGGCCAACACGTTCTGGTTGGAGACTTCAACCTACACCACCCAAGGTGGGGAGGCCAGGCAACTACAACACACCATAGATCTTCGGAAACACTCATGAAAATCCTGCATGAGGCTAATATGGAACTAATACTGCCGGAAGGAACAATTACTTGGAATAGCAGAGGGAGCCAAAGCACTATTGACCTAACCTTCATCTCAAAGGAACTTGAAAATACCATCATTGCATGCCAACCAGCCAACAACCTCGAGTCATCTTCCGATCATATCCCTATCGGCACTCAACTGCGCATACAGCCAATCACACAGACAAAACCGGAACCACAGCCACAGTGAAAGAGGGTAGACTGGGTGGGCTTCAACATAAGGCTAGCTACTATTCTTCACCAGACAACGGAAACTAATCTCCTCGACTCCCATCTAGCCATTGACCATAGAGTCACGACAATCACTAAATCAATTTAGCAGACAATTGAGGAAATGATA